TCTTACTTAGTCTTTTCGGCACACTTCGACCCCATGGGGGTAACGAAATGCTGCCAAATTTTTGAAAAATCAGATAACCCATTTCTCCCCACCTCCTCACACACTTATTTACTTATTTATTTATTTATTATTTCTTTATTTATTTTTTGAAATTTCTTTTTTTATTTATTTGCGGCATCTCTAGTGTGCTCACCTTGGTCTCTCCTTTTCCTTGGCACATTCTTGACCCCGTGGGGGGTAGGGAAGTGCTGCCGAAAATTTCAAAAAAATAAATATTGTTTCCCTTCACATTTCTTTACTTATTTATTTACTTATTTTTATTATTTTTTTATTTTTTATTTTTTATTTTTTTTCTCTCGAAATCTCGCTGTTTATTAATTTTTCTCCCGTCTCCCCCCCCCTATGCTTGCTATTTTACTTTCTTGTTTAGGTCACCGGTACCCTACCCTAGCCACTTACACCTCCGTTAGGGTTTTCTTAGGGTTTTTGTAGGGTTTAGGGTTCCTCAAAACCCCCCTACTTCCCCGTCCTCTTCGGGCACCCTGGACCCGAACCACCCCTCCCCCTTTGACGGCGCCCGTGCTAGCCTTGCTAGCGCCGTTCGCCGCTTTCTACCGCGGACTTCCCCCTTCGCCCTCCGCTCACGCGGACCTCTTCTGGCCCCCTCCAGTCCGGTCCGTCATCTCCCCATGGCCGACGGTGCGTCACACGCCGCCGACACGACGATGACCACGGCATCGGGCTCCACACCCGTGCCAGCGGACCAGGGCCATCAGCCCCAGGGGGATCGACACACCCTCCTCACCTCCCTCCTTGCGCCCATCCAAGCGCAACTCGCGACCCTTGCGCCCATCAAGGCGCAACTCGCGACCCTCGCACCCTTACAGACGCAGGTGGCGACCCTTGCCACCGGCATGCAGCAACTCCAGGACGTTGCGTATCCGTCATCTCCTGGCTCCCAGTCCGGGTCCCCCGTCCTCCGACAGGGTGGCCACGGCGGAGCTTCCACCTCCGTTGCCTCTGACCCGACCATCTTGGTGACTGTCCACGCCCCTAGCACGACGGCCGCCACGAGCCAGGCCCCCCCTCAGTCTGCGAGCGCACCCGCCCAGATCCAGGTCACTACGGCCACGGTACAACAACCCGCTACCATGGTCTCATATTTTCCGGGTGCCCCCTCCCCTTCGCACGTTCGCCGCGCCACCTGGCTCTCCCCCCTCTGGGATGCCCCGCGCCGCTTGTGCGTCCMCCCCCTCCACTCTTCCTCCTGCCACCCCTCGATCGACCTACGTTCGAGGTCTCGCGGACAAGATTGCCCAGCTCCGGGCCGACCTCGCCCTCTTACGCCTTCAACCACCCCCACCCTCAAAGGTGGCCGCGCCTTCGGGTGCACCCCCAACCTCCTCTACCCTTCCTCCCATGCAGGCTCGCTTTCCGTGCCCTGCACCCTATACAACTCCTTCCTACCTTCTTCCTACTCCCGCGGTTGCTGCGACCTCTTCTACCGCAGCACCCTCGCAGCCTGCCGCTGTTGCCACCGCCGCTCCCCCATGCGGCCCGGGCGCACAATCAGTTGCGCCCCTTTCTCCAGGACCTGCGCCGACTTACTCAGTCGTGGCACAGGCCTCCGCTCCTCGATCCCCTCGCCGCCAAAACGGTGGCGGACATTGCCTTGTATGACGGTACAGGCATACGCGTGTCTCGGTGGCTGCAGTCTGCCACCCGCACACTCCAGCTCATGGGCGCCACACCCGAGACGTGGGTGGGTCACGTCTCCACGCGCCTACGTGGCGGTCCTTTCGAGGCCTGGGAGGATTTCTATGCCTACTCCCTTCGGGAGGGTCGGACTCCGACCTTCGTGGATTTCCAGGCGTTCCTCGAGGATCGCTTCGGAGCCCGATACGACGTGACTGACGCCTTCGAGCGTGTCGTCACTACACGCTGGTCCGGCTCTAGTGGCGCTGCCGGCCTGGATCGCCACATCCAGGTCTTTCAGGACGCCCGCCTCGTTTGAGACGTGGCGTTCCTCCCCGAGGCTGCGCTTATCGATCGTTTCTTGGCCAGCCTTCCGCTCGAGTATCGCTCCGAGCTATGGCGGTACGAGTTCACATCGGCCCCACAGGCTTACGAGGCCGCCAGGGACCACCAGCGGATGCGAGCCCGTCTTCACCCCGCCTCCTCCTCCCAGCCCCAGCGCACGGGCTACGCCTCCTCCTCCTCTCACGACACTTCTCAGCGCCGTTCCCCTTTCCGCGGTCGCCCCCGCCATTCCACACAGCAGGGCCGCCACTTCTCGTGCTGCTTCAGCGGCGTGGAGTATGGTGAGCAGGACGCTGTTGCCCCACTGTCACCTGAGGGCGACCACAGTGACGACCTCGATCTCTGCGAGGCCGTTCACTATCACTTGGAGGACTCTACCCTCCCTGCAGCTGAGCGTCTTCAGCTCGCGCTCTCCGCCCTCTCTCGGGCACGCAACCGCCCCGGTCACGCTGGCGCGTCGCCCCCCGAGGTCCCTTAGGAGGACCTCCCTCAGGGCTTCGTCCCTCCTCGTGGTGTCCTTTCCGCTGAGGAGCGCGCGGCTATTCTGGGCCGGCGTGGGTGTTTGCGCTGCCGCTTGGACGGTCATACCTCCTCGCGGTGCCCTTACACTACCGCCCTCGACTGCCACTACGCTGACCTTTCTCGTTAGTGTCGTGCTCAGTCCCCCCCCGGCGCCTCACGTCCCCGCGGCGCCTCCTAGCCACGGTGCAGTGTACACCTGCGCCCTCCTCAGTAGTCGGCTTCCCGACATCTCCGTTGAGGTTCACCCCTCTCGCTACTGGAGTTGAGGTGTCGCAGGACTCGACAGAGTGTACTCARCCCTCTGTCGCAGTMCCGTCTGCMCCTCCGCAGACCACCGTCTCCCCTCCTTCCCCGCCGCGATTACCGACGCGTGGAGCCATTTGCTCAGGCCGTTGCAGCGAGCAGCTCGCTACTCGCGAGGAGGTTGTGTCCTCTCTTCTGGACTTGAGCATGCTCCAGGCTCGTCAGGAGCAACTCACTCTCCATGTCGCAGCCCTGCGTCGCCTTCTTACCATCCTCTTTCACCCTGATCGCACCCTCCCGATCATCCCAGTACGATTGGGGACCTCCACGAGGGTGTACTCAGCGCTGTGGGATTCCGGTTCTCAGGGCCACTTCATTCACCCCCGTGTGGTGAAAGAAGCCCGCTTACCTACGACCAGGTCTCCGTCTCCCATCTCTATCACCCTAGGGGATGACAAGACCCAACACTTCCTCACCCTCGAGTCGACTGATCATTCCCCAGCGTCTCGTCGCCACCGCTCCTCTGCACATTTGGATGTGATGGAGACGGGGTACGACTTCATTCTCGGCACTCCGTGGTCTCGTCGGTTCCGCAGCACCCAGGCCGATTGGGCGACCAATACTCTCGTTCTCAAAACGAAGTGTGGACAGACGTATCGCGTACCTTTCATAGGTACCACTGCGACACCGCGGCCCGATTCTCCTCCCCCGGAGCCTTCAGTGCCCACACCATCTCCCTCTATCACTGTCACCTCGCCTCGGCAGTTCGCTCACTTCATCCGACAGGACGACGTCACCTTCTTTATGGTGAACGTGACGGATCTCTTACACTATGATCCACCCTATCCCGACACCGAGCTCCTCCCTCTGGAGCCAGATCCTCCTTCTCTCTCCATGGCTCCCATCTCTACTTCCGTCCAACCGCCGTCCGTCGAGTCCACCGTGCCGTCGCGCGCTGACGCTGACGCTGAGGAACTCGCACGATATACGGCTGACCTGGAGCCCGCAGTTCGTGACCTCATCCGAGAGTACCACAACGTTTTCCCATCGTCGTTCTCGTACGCCGGCATCCCACCGATGCGTAACGTCGAGCACTCCATTCAGCTTGTGCCTGACTATCGTGTTCACCACCAGGCACCCTACAGACTCTCAATCCCCGAGGCCACCGAACTCAAGCGTCAGCTTGAGGAGCTCCTGAGACTGGGTTTCATTAAACCCAGCAATTCCCCGTGGGGTGCACCCGTCCTCTTTGCTCGCAAAGTGGATGAAACTCTCCGTCTCTGCATCGATTATCGCGGTCTCAACCGCTACACGGTTAAGAATAGCTACCCCATGCCTCGTTCTGATGAGCTGTTCGACCGCCTAGCAGGCAATCGCTTCTTTACGAAGATTGATCTTCATAGCAGTTACCATCAGATCCGCGTCGCTGCAGCGGACCAGCCGAAGACCGCGTTCCGATCGCGATTCGGCCACTACGAGTTCACAGTGATGCCATTCGGCCTCACTAATGCTCCCGCTACCTTTCAGAGGGCGATGAACGACATCTTCAGGGACATCCTGGAGCAGTACGTTCTCGTCTACCTCGACGATATCCTGGTCTACAGTCGTACTCTTGAGGAGCACCTCAGACATCTCCGCGATGTCCTTGACCGCTTGCGCAGACATGGCTTCTACGCCAAGCTGAGCAAGTGCTGCTTTGCCCAGCACAAAGTGGATTTCTTAGGACACTATGTGTATGACAAGGGTCTCCACATGGACGACGCGAAGATCACTACTATTGCGGAGTGGCCCGCTCCCACATCCGCCAAGCAGCTTCGCAGCTTCCTAGGCCTGACCAGCTACTACAATAACTTCATCCTGGGATACGCTAGGTATTCCTACGTCCTTACCTCCACCCTCCTCCGGAAGAACCCACCCTGGGCTTGGACACCCCTCCACGAGGACGCCTTTCGCGCCCTCAAGAAGGCGGTGACATGCGCACCGGTTCTTCACCTACCCGATTTTGACCGCCCTTTTATCCTTACCACCGATGTTTAGTTTCACCACTGAGCACATCAAGGGTGAGACTAATCGGGTCGCAGATGCCCTATCCTGGCGCCCTGACCACGACCAGGAGCAGATGCAGCTCTCTTCCATCTCGGTCACCACCGTCCACCACTCGGTGATCGACGAGTTTCGCACTCAGTATCGCCACTGCCCCGACTATCGCGACATCCACGCGACCCTTCGGAGTGGCAAGACCGTCCCGAACTACTCTTTCGGGGACAACGGTCTCGTGTACTGGCACGGTTCACAGGGCACCAGAGAGCCCCGTATTTGCGTTCCCTCCACTGGACAACTACGTGTCCGAGCAGTAGCMGAGTTCCATGACCAGGCACTTGCCGGTCATATGGGCTTCCACAAGACGTTGGCTCGTGTGAGCCGCCTGTACGTCTGGCCGAAGCGCAAGTACTTTGTGAAGGACTACGTCGCRGAGTGTCCCACCTGTCAGGAGGTGAACAGTGCGAACCACCTRCCTTATGGTTTGCTCCAGCCTCTTCCTATCCCTGAGGGTCGTTGGCAGTCCATCTCGATGGACTTTATCGGTCCTCTTCGTCCTCCGGCCCCTCGCGGTCATGATGCTATCCTGGTCGTCGTCGACCGCTTCACGAAGTGTGCACGCTTTGTTCCGTGCCGCTATGCCATCAGTGCACGTGAGGTCGCCGACATCGTGTTTGACCGAGTCGTGCGTGACCACGGCTTACCTCTGAGCATCATATCGGACCGTGACCCGCGCTTTACCAGCCGATTCTGGCGACGGTTCCGTGATGTATACGACACTCAGCTCCGCTTCTCCTCGTCTTACCATCCTCAGACTGATGGTCAGACCGAGATCACGAACAGGACTCTCGGAGATATTCTTCGAAAGATTGTTCGTGACGACCAGCAGTGGGATCGTCATCTTGCCCACGCGGAAATAGCCTACAACCACGCCGTCTCGCCAGCCACGGGGATGTCGCCTTACTATTGCGACCTCGGCTATCACCCTCGTGTTCCCGCGGACTTCCTTCGACCGTCCCAGCTGCACCCCGACATGAGTTGTCCCACGCTGGACGATTGGGTTGCACACATGACGTCGATCATGAAGACCGCACATGAGCACATAGCCGCTTCCCACACTCGCATGGCAGCACGTGCGAACCGATCGAGGATGGATCATCCATTCGAAGTCAGTGATGATGTGCTTATCGACGCCCGCCACTTACAGCTCGAAGTGGACACGCTTCGCAAGTTTCGGCGTCGCTTCTTTGGCCCATGCCGCATCCTCCAGGCCGTCGGTTCTGATACAGCATCTAGCCCGGTCAGCTTCCGTGTGAAGCTGCCCGACTACCTACGCCAGACTCGTGTGCACGATGTCTACCACGTCTCGTTACTGCGTCCTTACCGCAGACCGTCTGAGCGTTTCGCT